CCTTGAATTTCTCAGTTCACCTTGGGAACAGCAACGACAAAGTCACATTTTAAGCTTCGCCGGGACTTCACTGGTCTCGTTCTCCTTGATCTTAAATTTTAAGGAGGCTGCCGTTCAGCTCAGCCTGTTAGGGTGGGTTAACGATGAAATAAAATCCATAAATCGAATGGCAAACACAGCTCAGCAGGTACTTAAAAGCAGCGAAAGAAAGGCAGAGAGGACCAAACGTTCCAAAGAAAGAATGTCAATAGTTTCTAAACAGCCTGAGGTAAAAGCAAAAAAAAAAAGCTTTTGCATCTCTGGCTCTGAAAAGGGAAGAAATCTGTGTGAAAACTTAATTGCGGTTACGGGTGTCTGCTTGGACGTCCAAATGGGTGCCATGCTGGGGTTGTGTGAACCCATACAGAAAGGGCCAGGCCTTGGGTGGCCTTAGAGTCCACCCCTCTCAGGGGCTGCCCCAAAGAAGAGGGAGTCAAGCTATTCTCCAAAGCCCCTGAAGGCAGGACAAGAAGCAACGGATGGAAACTCATCAAGGAGAGAAGCAACCTAGAACTAAGGAGAAACTTCCTTACAGTGAGAACAATTAACCAGTGGAACCACCTGCCTCCAGAATGATCACTAAACAAGTGGTTTAGTGGTTTGGTTCGAGGGCCACCTGTACTATATATATTCCAGAATAGTCCACCATCTGTTTATAAAAGAAGCTTGCTTAGGTTGCTACTTTAGCACCCTTTCAGTTTGCTTCAGATAGGTTTCTTGAACTGGATACCGGAGAGGGGGAGACACTGATGATGTTACCTAGTTGGGTCATGAAATGTCTGCAAGAAAACAACCAGAAACCATCCGAAGAGCAGAAAGGACACCACAATCCTCCTCCTCCTCCTCCTCCTCCTCCTCCTCCTCCAGCCCCAACCCCCCTCCCTTCTAGCACTGATGATGTTACCTGGTCAGGTAACGAAACGTCTGCAAGGAAACTACCAAGCTCAGAGAGCACCAAGGACCCCACAGTCCTCCTCCTCCTCCTCCTCTCTTCCCCCCCACCCCCCTCCCTTCTAGCACTGATGATGTTACCTAGCCAGGCAACGAAATGTCTGCAAGGAAACCACCCAGCTCAGGGATCCCAAGGACCCCACAGTGGAGGTCATCTGAAGTAGTCGGGAAATCTGGCTGGATTGTAAGCAGAAGCAGCACACGGATTTCTCTTTCTCTTGCACTGCAGCTTCTCCTGCCACGGATGCTCACAGCAAGACCGATCTCCCACCAGTCTCGGAACAGATCTTGCAGACCCTGACAGACTTGGCTCGATCTTTCCAGGAGATGGCAGACTCCTGTTTGCTGGTTTTACACCTGGAAGTCAGGTAAGACATGCAAACTATCTATCTGTCTGTCTGTCTTGTTTGTCTGTCTGTCTGTCTACCTACCTACGTACCTACCTATCTTCTATGTCTGTGTCTATCTATCTGTCCGTCTATCTATCTATCTATCTATCTATCTACCTACCTACCTACCTACCTACCTACCTACCTACCTACCTACCTACCTACCTTCTATGTCTGTGTCTATCTATCTGTCCGTCTATCTATCTATCTATCTATCTATCTATCTATCTATCTATCTACCTACCTACCTACCTACCTACCTACCTACCTACCTACCTACCTACCTTCTATGTCTGTGTCTGTCTATCTATCCGTCCATTCATCCATCCATCTATCCACCTACCTACCTACCTACCTTCTATGTCTGTGTCTTTCTATCCGTCCGTCCATCCATCCATCTACCTACCTACCTACCTTCTATGTCTGTGTCTGTCTAACTTTCCATCCATCCATCCATCCATCCATCCATCCATCCATCCATCCATCCATCCATCCATCTATCTATCTATCTATCTATCTATCTATCTATCTATCTATCTATCTATCTATCTATCTATCTATCTATCTATCTATCTATAGCAAACATACTTAATCCTCTTTCCTCAGAGCAACAACCCTTTAAGGTGGATTGGTCTGAGGGAGAGGGATTAGCCCAAAGTCACCCAGCTGGTTTTCAGGTCTAAGGTGGGACTAGAACTCACCGTCTCCTGGTGATTGGTCCAAAGTCACCCAGCTGGCTTTCGTGCCTAAGGTGGGACTAGAACTCACTGCCTCCTGGTGATTGACCCAAAGTCACCCAGCCCGCTTTCATGCCTAGGGCGAGACTAGAACTCACTGTCTCCTGGTTTGTTGCTTTGTGCTGGGTCGATATCTCTGAATCCAGGCATTTCTGAACACCCCCCCATGATCTGCAGAATCCTGAAGGAAGAAAGAGCCTTGCAATTTATAAAGCAGCATATAGTGCAATTAGGCAGAAAATTAGCATGTAAAAACATTTCATATACATTATTTTTGTTCCCCCTGTCAGGTAGGTCTGTGTAATTATTCCCCCTAGTGCAGAGAGAGAGTAGGAAGGGCTTGAGAGAAAGAGGTAGAGTTTCTCCAAGCGGGGAGACGGCAGATGTGTGAGGTTTTAATCACTCCTCATCTTGATTGAACATTGCAAATTGCAATTAAAAACCCAGACACCCGTTACATTTGCCCAGAAGTCTTAACCAGGTTGAACAAAATTCATCTTAGCCGACTTTTCAACTTTGCATCTCGCACGGAACCAGCTTTTTAGATAGTTGGTGGGTCAGTATATTATATGAACCTAGAACAGGGGTCTTCAAACTTGACAACGTTAAGACTTGTGGACTTCAACTCAGCCTTGGCTGGCTGAGGAATTCTGGGAGTTGAAGTCCACTTGGAGGTTTCCCTATGGCAGGGGTAGGCAACCTTGGCTCTTTTATGACTGGTGGACTTCAACTCCCAGAATTCCTCAGCCAGCCGTGCTGAGGGGAAAGGGAGAGGTTTCCATGCTGGCCCAGGAATTCTGGGAGCTGAAGTCCACCAGTCATGAGGGGGCCATAGTTCCCCCATGCTGGCTCAGGAATTCTGGGAGTTGAAGTCCACTTGGAGGTTTGTCTATGGCAGGGGTAGACAACCTTGGCTCTTTTATGACTGGTAGACTTCAACTCCCAGAATTCCTGAGCCAGCCATTCTGAGGGTTTCCAAGGTTTCCAAGCTGAGCCAGGCTGGCTCAGGAATTCTGGGAATTGAAGTCCACCAGTCATAAAAGAGCCAAGTTTGAAAACCCCTAGTTTAAATATTTAAATAGTTGTTCCTCTCGGTCACGTGATCAAAATTCAGGCATTTGGGCAGGGGTAGGCAACCTTGGCTCTTTTATGACTGATGGACTTCAACTCCCAGAATTCCTGAGCCAGCATGGCTCAGCTTGGAAACCTCACTCTTTCCCCTCAGCATGGCTGGCTCAGGAATTCTGGGAGTTGAAGTCCACCAGTCATCAAAGAGCCAAGGTTGCCTACCCCTGCCCTAGGCCTAGGCCGCTTTTTGACCAGTGGACTTCAATTCCCAGAATTCCTGAGCCAGCCATGCTGAGGGGAAAGAGTGAGGTTTCCATGCTGAGCCATGCTGGCTCAGGAATTCTNATAATAATAATAATAATAATAATAATAATAATAATAATAATAATAATAATAATAATAAAGTTGGAAGGGACCTTGGAGGTCATCTAGCCCAACCCCCTGCTCAGGCAGGAAACCCTATACCATTTCGGACACATGGCTGTCCAGTCTCTTCTTAAAAACTTCCAGTGTTGGAGCATTCACCACTTCTGGAGGCAGATAGTTCCACTGGTTAATTGTTCTCACTGTCAGGAAGTTTCTCCTTAGTTCCAGGTTGCTTCTCTCTTTGGTTAGTTCCCATCTGTTGCTTCTCGTCCTGCCTTCAGGCACTTTGGAGAATAGCTTGACTCCCTCTTCTTCATCATCATCATCAATATCATCATCATCATCCACATCTGCCTATCCCAGGTCCTTGGTGAGGACTCGATAGGTAGACAAAAGTGCCAAATCCAGTCTGAACATCTGGCTGACTGGGCGATGATCCATAATCATAATCATAATAATAAAAGATCATCATCATCATCTCTAGTTTTAAGTCAAGGACTACCTGTCTAATAATTTAGGAGTTTTGTAGAATCGTAAAATTTCTTCCTCCTGACCGATCAACTAATTGTGACCTGCAATTTCTCTCTGCTCCAGGTTTGGGCCATTTAATCTCCTGCATCCTCATCAACGGGGCTCAGTACTTCAAGCGGATCAGCGAGTCGGGCATTAAGAAGATGTGCCGCAACATCTTCATCCTTCAGCAAAACCTCACCAACATCACCATGTCCAGGGAGGCCGATCTGGACTTCGCAAGGTGGGACGAAGGAGAGACCGTGTTGGGTGTGTGTGTGTGTGTGAGAGAGAGCCTTTGGGACAGGCTTACGATCTCAATTGACTTACAATCTCAATTGACCCCCCCCCCAGAATTTCCATGCCTAAGCAAGGGGGGCGGTTGAGCTTCGCCCCGTTTTACGACCGTGTTGGCGGCAGCTGTTCAGCGAATCATGGCAGATGTTAGGTGAACCGTGCGCGGTCGTTCAGCACATCTGGCTTTCCCCCCTTGACTTTGCTTGTCGAGAACCGCCTGGGAAGGTTACAAATGGCGATCATGTGACCCCGGGACAGTAAAATTGTCGTAAATACATGCCAGTTGCAAAGTGGCCAGATTTCCCAGGGAGGACTAGAACTCACCGTCTCCTGGTGATTGGCCCAAAGTCACCCAGCCGGCTTCCATGCCTAAGGCGGGACTAGAACTCCCAGCCTCCTGGTGATTGGTCCAAAGTCACCTAGCTGGCTTTCATGCCTAAGGCGGGACTAGAACTCACACTCTCCTGGTGATTGGCCCAAAGTCACCCAGCTGGCTTCCATGCCTAAGGCGGGACTAGAACTCACCGTCTCCTGGTGATTGGCCCAAAGTCACCCAGCCGGCTTCCATGCCTAAGGCGGGACTAGAACTCCCCATCTCCTGGTGATTGGTCCAAAGTCACCTAGCTGGCTTTCATGCCTAAGGCGGGACTAGA